AAAGAAAAATATCTTTTAAATAAATCCTAAATGCACTTGTGTTGTCACAAGCTATTACATTTGTTTTACTTCATCTTTATAAAAACATCAAAAAATTGACCTAAAATTAAAAACTTAACTCCTTACTGTTGTGAAATGAGTACAATGTTAATGCATGCCCTCAGCCGCATTGTTGTACAGTTGTGTGTCAGCATTAAAATAAATCTCCCACTGAGGCTCTATTACATAAATTAATATGCTACTGAGTTTAAATTTGAGTGGGTTTTTTTCTGAATTTAATCAATAAACATCTGCCCTCACTCGTCCATTATGTTTAATATGTTTACAAATCTTTAGGAGAACTGATCCACATTTACGATTCTGTAGTATAAAAAGCTGATGTTTAAATCACAAAACTGAAAATAAAATGGGACGAAGGTTTCGGAAGCTAAGGTCATCTCTGAAATGTTTTATTTTGGAATCCAAGTGACTTGACGAACCAGCCTACATCAACAGATGGCCACAACCAACAAACGCATCACTATACACCACTGAATGAAAATCATCCATTTCACAATGGCCTCATCAGATTTGCATCATCAACACAGCTGGAGAGAAGAAATGATAACCCTCCGTTAAAGCCACTTTGGCTATTTTTTCCCCCCCAATCCATCTTTCTCCAGCACACTTTTGAAGGGTCTTGCCTATCCCACTCTGCTTCAATTATCTGGCAATGCCCAGCTGAGATGCAATAATCCAAACACTCATTCCCTGCAATTTTCACACTTAGGTCTGCACACTCACTTGCCTTAAGTTCCCAATCACTTCTATAGGTGCCTCTTCCCCTACCTTGAAGATCTGAGAGACATGAGCTCTGACTGTAGTCTGAAGAGGGGAGGGATTTACTGCAGGAGAGGAATATTTAAATCAAAATGTATGCAGATGCAATCTAATTTTAGCCTCTTGAAATTAGAACCTGGTCTATAGAGGGAAAAGTTGTGAAGGAGCTTATTTCCCTTAAAGTATAAAAAAATAACCTTGATTCCAAACACAATGTTTTACAAACCTAATTTTAAAATAAAATGTGAAAAGTCTTACAATACATAAATCTTTAATTTACTTATTTGTTTAAGTCTTTAACATTTTATTCCAGTTAGATATTTTAGAACCATTATAGCTGTAAAAAATGAGATATTTCTATGTTTTTGGTTTGAATTTTTATKTTTCTAAGACTACTACATCCTTAAAGGAATGTTTAGGGGTTAATGTAACTCAAACTCAGGGCAAATATTCCTCACCTTTGTTTACAACTAGATTCAGCTCAGTACCTCAGCTCAGCTCATTTGCATAAGATCTTAGCTCCAACTGGTGCTTTAACGCTCTCCACTGCTCCATTTCCTCCTTCAAAATTACCCCACTTCTGTCGACTCTCATCCTACAGCTTTTCGTCGGCTTTCCTTTCAGAAGAAGAGAGAACTTTACATTTTCGCTTTTGACTTCTCTGATTTCGTTGTTCTACCTCTGACTCTGTTAACATGCAGAGATGGTTTATCAGTTCAACGTTAGTCAGAAATTTGGGTAAGTTTWAAAAAAAAATAAACAGAATTTCAACAAATTCAATGCCAATAGCACAGAAATTATTAAAAAGATTTTGGGGAGTGATGAAAATCTTGGTGCATGAAGGCCAAGGACAGAGAGCACTGATGAATCCAGGTGACCTTCTATGGCTGAGATCGATACGACCACATGGGACCAGGAGTTTCCTGGATAACCAGTGTCACTCAGTGCAGTCTGCAGCTCAGTCCAGGAAAATAACATAAAAGAGGAAGACATTTATCAACTCTGCTTCTCAGGACATAAACTCATCCCAGATGATAGACTGACGAGTATGAATATATGGTCACTGGTCAGATGAATCCACTTTCATCTGCTTTTGGAAAAAAATAAGCATGAGATTTTGTACCAAAGACAAACAATCCAGGTTTTTTTTAATGAAAGATGTAAAACCATAAAACTGCAGCCAGAGTGACAAGCATTTGTTTAAATGGAGACGTATCCTGCTTTTTAATCTTTTTTCACCTTTAAATCATCCAGTTGGGAAAGTGGAACTGCAATGCTTTGGTCTGAATCCCTCCTTATTGGCTACGTTCACACTGCAGGTCTTAATGCTCAGTTCCGATTTTTTGAAAAAATCCAATCTTTTTGTGAACGTTCACA